TGATTTTTTAATTCAGGAAGAAGTGATCTTAATGTGGAATTATATGCTCTTGATAGACTATTTCTCTCTTCTATATAACTTTTATGGATAGAATTAATTGCCTGATTGTATCTTATTGGAAATAAAGCCTGAAATCGATCCCTATATGTAGTATTTCCATCTAATAGATCTTGTTCAGATCTTGCATGAATTTTCATTATAAGATGTTGAAAAAAGAATGGTTCGCCATTTTGTATATTATAATTGGTAAATCTTAGAAGAATTGGTGATTTTCGTTGAATGATTATTCTACCCTTTCGATCTTGAGCATGAAATAGTTTGGATCGTTGACCTGGCCGCCTCAAACCAATGGTATAGTTGCGAAAATAATCCGGATATGTAATGGTAATGAAATTTTCATGATCAGGTCGATCGAAATATTTATCGATCGCGTCATCCCAATATGGAAGTTCATCCTGATTATAATCATTGTTACTACCATCATCATTTCGTTCATTTAATAAATAAATAGGTTTAACAGATCTTGTTCTCAATTGTGAGGGGGCTGAAGGAAGATAGATTACTGAAACAGAACATCTTGTTAATGGATATTACAGTAAGAGTACCATCAACTCCATTGTTCCTAATCTTCGTGCTATAATATGTTTTCTATATTCATCTTGCTCATCAATATCAAATAATTCTGAAGATTCGAGTTTCGTTATATATTTTGTTATATATTTTGCAAATCCAGTAGATGTGACGTACTGAAAGTTTATGTGTCCACACCAAATTAACAAAGTTTCTGAATTATATGAAACAACCATTCAATCTTCTTTTATACGTCGATAAAAGTATTGTAATGAATTGCCTGAACAATGTGTTGTTTGAGATAAGGGTTGAGGAAAACCTTTGGAACATGATCCGTCAGTTTGATTTTGTGGTCTGCATCTGTAATTACAATGATGTATTTGAAAAGTTGTTACTAAATAATACAATTCAGGTTCTATATTAGGATCAGGAACATCTGCACAAATTATGTCAAGAGCAATCAATTCTGGAGTTTTTTTTTCTGTATATGCAAAACCATGTGTATGGATTGTTCCTCTGTTTTAAAATTCATCATATTCGAAAAAATGCTCCCATTTTCCCCATCTAGCCAGGTTTGGATTTTTCCATAATTTGTTACAAATATTATTAAGGTAATTGCGATAGAACATATATACATGTAATGGCCGATTTGTTGGTAAAGTATCATTATTATCTGATGTACGCAGAATTTGATGTAAATGTGGCCATTTGTCTTTTGCTATGGTCATTGTATAGAATATTTGTGGTAATCTATATGAATGTATCATGGTATTAACTTGTTGTTGTTTTTTTTTAAAGTATGGAGTGGCAGTTCTCAGGTATGAGGGAATGGTTGTAGTTTTTGATTTATCTATAATATTTCGATTATCATATGAACTTTTTATGATAAGATCTGTTACTGTTGGATGATGCTCACAGTTCACTTTTCGAGTAGATAAAAGATGATATTGATTTTGAAAATTTCTTCTTTTTTCCAAATTCAAATAGGACCAATGTGGCCAATACCAATGAAGACGGAACCTAGGATCAGGACACAGCATTCTTAGTTTTATATACTTTCCATAACTATCTATAGATGGTTGAAATCTTAGAAGCCGCTTTAAATCCTCATAGTGACCTCAACCTTTAGAAAATAAATCTGGAAACATTAAAGCTTCCAGATCAGGATTATTAAATAAAATAGGAAGATTCTCTTCATCTCTATTTGCTATTAATCCTGCTATCAATCGAGTGTGATGTGTATCTTCATTATGAATTTCTTGTGGAAAGGAATTATTAGAAACAACTAAGTCTGGTGGGTATGGTGTTTCATTTGAAAGAAAACTGCATTGGAAGTCAGATGGGGCTTGATGGTAATCAATCGACTGTCTTGCTAAAGGTAATGGAATTGGTGTGGGACTTTCAGGTCTTGGAGGTGTAATATTAATATTTGAATGATATTTTTTAATAATATGATTATTTCCTCTCAACCATTCGCAAGCAGGTATTAATGATTCATGAAACCATCTTGGAGGTTCGTGAATATTTAGATATGCATCAATTGTTCCAGAATAAATTTCTAATGATTGGTAATTATGTGTTATGTTGATTGAACCTTGCAGATATCGATAATTAGTATAGTTATTTGTGTCAGGAGTACGACCTAAAGAACATTTCATGTGGACTGGCGAAAGATATCTTCTATGTGTCATTGGAACACTTATAATTTCAGATGGAATTTCTGTTAATATTGATGGATATTGGCATGTTTTTGAATTTTTGCATCCATTACAAATGGCGACCTGTACAACTTCTCAATTATTCTCTCGTATATACACAGGAATATTTGGAAAGGCCAATGTTAATATATATCATTCTTCAGAATTATAAAGTAACCATTTGGTATGTTCTTTCATCATTAGAATTAAACAGTAAGCACAGAAAATACTTGGATAATCATTTAATATTTTTGTTTGAAACTGATTTAAAAGATGTTAAAGATTAATTTGATAAGAAAAGGGATTATTACTAATAGGCGATGGAAGAATTAATTCAGATTGATTGCAATTATTGTCCTGGGCAGGTGCATTTGACAAATTTTGATTTATTTTATTTCTATAGATATAGGGTTCTAGGATAATGTCTTTTTGTAAGTTTTGAAAATTTTCTATATTTCGTCATTGTTTATCATTAGCAAAAGTGATAAGTTGAAATTGCTGAATTTTATAATTGTTGGACATGATCAATATCAATTTTCAAGAAAAAAAATATAAGATTTAGATTCGGGTCTTATTTATATTAATTCTTTAAGCTATGACATTTTATTAAAAACAGGTTTGTTAACTGAAATTTACATTTTGTGATATATTTAATTTATATTTTATATTATTTATTAAAATTTTTATAATTCTGTCTCAGCAATAGGTTCTCTTTTTTCAATCTCTGCAATGGCCTTCAAGAAATTGACTGCTTGGGATTTGACATTTTTGGACATTTTTAATGATGATGAAGATGTTGATACCAGACTAATCTTGCGTTTTTTCTTGGGACTTGCATTTATTTGGAGATATCTTGCTTCGAGGCTTTCAAGTTCCTATATATTTGTACTGTTTTGACCAGAAATATTTGATGATTGCGAATTGTTTCCAGCATAATTTCACTCAATTTCTAATGCTATGATGTGTTGCATTGAACTCCTACTGATCTTTAACTTTCCCACTACTGACATTATGGTCTTTTTCAAGTTAGTTTTTATTGAATTATATCGACTATGCATATTGGTATATGACACAATCACTTTTGATTCAATGTTCTTGTGATTATTGACATCGTTATACAATTATTTTGACAACATGAAACTTTCTCTGCCACCATCTATATCAGAAATATATGAATCTGCTATCACTGGTGCTGAATATATTTACAACAGAAGCATTTCTGAAAGATTGTCAGAGGTGAGCTTTGCTTTACTAAGAATAATAGAGATCACTGGTATTGCTTGTATCAGAGCAACCTTTTTTTGTTATTATGTAAATAAGAAATAATAATAATAATTAGTTATATGCACAATATATTTAATATGAAGTATGCCTAATCCAATCTTTATTATATGTATATATTCAATTTTTTTCTCATAAACATAACGTTCTACCATCAGAACTATTGTTTCTTTTTCAAATTCTTGAATTAAACTTTCTTCTGATTCGATATAGACTTTGAAGATGAATTCTCTGAATTCATCTTGAGTATTACTTAATGCTCTATAGAGAGCAGTGCCATTGATAGATCTTTTAGTCCCTGATAGGGTTTTTATGAAGCAAAACGATATGAATACTGATGACATGTTTTTAATTAATAAGATATATTGTAACAATCATCTGCGAACTTGTCACTATGAAATAACACAATTCGTGTGACTGTTAATTATAGTAAGTGTTCTAAAAATGAGTAAGGCATACTGATTTTTGGTCGAGAGTTAAATAATAATTTTATTGGTTGATTTATTGTCTGTTCTTTATTATTAACATTATATTCTTTCTTTTTCTCTTTTTTATACTTTAGTTTTTTTATATCATTAAGGGTGGCTATGCAACTAGAAAATAATAGTGATTTTATATTACATAATTCTTTTTCACAATCCTCTCCTCCTCCTCTATCATTAGATAATCGTGAAACAGGTTTCTTACAGTGCTTGTCACAGAAATTGGTCACATGAATAAAGTAGCATTTCAGTTTTTATTATTATAATTTATTATAATATATTTATTTTTGTCTAGATACTCTTAAATAATGAATATATTTTAGACTTTTTTTGTGATCTTATGACAATTTTTCTTATTCTCTTGGACAATTACTGATTTTCCACCAGTTTTATACTAGTTTTCATCTAATTTTTCTCCCAAACATTTTTAATTAATCTCATAATAATTTTTATTTTTTTTCCTTGTGCAATTTGCTACAATAAATGTTCGATTCTCATTTTATTATTTCTAGTTTTTCAAACGTTTTTTCTCACTTGTTTTTTTTGAAACAAATCCATCTGCTTTTTTATTTTACATGAAAAAAAGGTCATGTCACCTTGAAAAAAATCAATATTTTTTATTTTAACTATACTTTTTTAAATTAAAAAATATATAAAAAACAACAACATTTTTTAATTATTTTATTTTTTAATTCAATGTTTAGTTATTAGCTAAAAAGAAATTAATTTTCAAATTCTATGCTTTTTGCACTTCTTGCCTAGCTGATTTTTATTTATTTTTATTATATTTATTATTATAAAATTATAAAATTATTATTTATAACTATATCTAGTAAAAAAAAATAGTAAAGTAATAATAATCATGTTGCATATAGCAGTGATCAATTTATTTTTTTTTATAAATACAGCTCCTGTTTGGAGCGAAATAAAATGGAGCAACAGTGTAAGCGTAGCATTGCATTGCGTAGCCTGGCAAAGCAACAACAGACATAGATATAGATATAAAATATAATATATAACACAACGAATTCTGCTTTCCTTTTTTATCCAATTTTTCACCCAAAGTGGATATTAATCTTGCCCAAAATTAATTAAATCTCAGAAATGCGTAGCACAATTTGAAAGCATTTTATTCTTATGCTAATAAAGAATATAATTGGTGTGCTAAATTATTAAAAGTAACAAATAATACAAATATGGAAAAGTTAATGAAAGGCTAATTTGTAACATGTTTCTCAATCCTTTGTGTTCATAACTTAGGGGATTATCACTTGGTTATGTGATATAACAATATATTTTAATTAGATACTATAAACGTTTGACCGAAATCCTTGATTATCGCAAAAGTGATGACTGAAACCTTTTTCCGGACTCTAAGTAAAGTTGTTTAGCGGATAAAAATACTATAGGTCTATTATTCGCGAATTAATGTATTAGATCGATGTTTGGTGTGAAATTTTTTATTTCGGAAAAGCTAAACTTTTAGGTTTAACAATTTTCCTCAACTTATTTGCGAGTTTCATAAGCAATTGTTGAATTAAGAATGATTGATAATGCAGATGCATGATTGCAAGCTCTCACATATTGTTCTCAAATTGGAAATTTCATTGATATGTCATCCTGATAATTAATTCCTATAATTGTATAGTGATACTCAAATATTGACAATACTTAGCAAGATTTCCTGCGCTTGTCATGCAATTTAAGACTTATATATTCCATATTACTTTTGTATTCACTACTGATATTCTCTTTGTTAGACTTTGATTCTGAATTACAAGCTTTCTCTTGTTGTAAATACCTCCAATACTGAACAAAGTTTTTACACAATTTTTTCTATACAATTATTTTCTCATTTTTCAAGTATTAATTAATTTTTCCTTGTGATGTGTATCCTAATTTCATATGTTAATTAATCATCATCTCTTAACTATGTTGGAACAATCCAGTTAGGGTTTTTACAAATGTATATCAACTTGAAAAGGAATTCAGTATCAAGTACAAATTATCAGTTGCCTATTATTTTCATCGCCGATTAGATCTCAAAGTTTCATTGGTTTCTATCAATTTCTAGAGAAAACCAATATTTAAAGATTGATTTTGATTTCAATATAATTAAACTTTTCAAATACAAAGTTTTATCAACCCCATTCAAATTTTTTATGTGTTATTTTCCAAAGGTATCCAATTTTCAAACTATATCCTTTTCATTAGACGAATTATCTCCATTTATTTTGATATAATTGAATATGTACATATATTTTATCATAAGTTGTGTTCTCTGCTTTGGTATTGATTTGCTGCTCCAGCAGATCACTGGGCCCATCTGTTATAAAAAGGCTTTTATATATTCAAGGATAATTTGTTAATTTGTTTCCTTAAATTCAACCTTTTTAGATTTTAACATTGGATACTGATTTTTCTCTCCTTTATCTTTACTTTCAACTTTTGAAATTATGTCTGCCAACAATGTTTTCTCTCATGCTGGTCTTTATGGTGGTTATGCTAATCACCGCAGTGGTTGTACTCTTCCTCCTCAATCCCATGCAAGCTTTATGGTTACTATTCATTGTCCTTTCCATGTTCCTCAAGTAATTCCTCCTGCTCCTGTTCCTGTTGAATCCCATGCCCCTTCTGGTTGTGACCGGTGTGTCACTTTACAATGTCAGATAAATTCTCAACAGAGAATTATAAATGATATAAATGAATTCAATAGAAATATTGGACAACAATTGGCTGGGTTACCTTTTTATAGAAGAAATGGTTCTCTTAGAAGAAATATTCACCAGTTAATTCAGGAGTATAGATATTTGGCAAAGGTGGTTCAGGAGTATAAGGTGGTATTGAGAAATGAACATTATGTAAATAGATGCCATAGAAGTAGGTTTTAATGCTTTTGATAATTTGTAAAATAGAATAAAATAAAATATATAAAAATAAAAAAAGTTATAAAAGAAACATAATTGTTTATGTAAATAAATTAATTGAAAAAATAATATGAATAACAAAGGAATTAGAAAAGATAAGGGGTAATAATAAAAGGTACTATAGTTATTAACTTCGTTTTTGACTTTTTATTTCTGATTAGGTTGTGATATAAATCTTAGCCATGGGTATCGTGATCTTGGGTTGTATTTGTGTAGGCACAATAATCGTGATCGTGATCAATTATGGCGATGTATGTATACTAGTGAGGTAAGTGCTATAAATGCTGTCTAAACCAAAGTCTTCGCGCCATTTTTTGCAATTAAGGAATTTTTTGTAGATTCCGAAATCTTCTCTTGCTGTCAGTAATCATAACAATTTAAGAGTCATAATGCACAGCATTCCGGAGTTTTAGCAGAGCTGGAGGATACATGTAGGTTCATATTTTCTTTTCATTCACATCACCCTTTCAAATTGTTTTTAAGTTAAATTATTTTTTTTGTAGGGCCCTCTATTTTCTTTGCGTGGCATTGTGATCTCTGGGACTGTGATCATGATTATGATTGTGATCCTGATTATGACAATATCCTGATACTTAATATCAGGACCGTTATATTGGTAAGCCCTTTTTCATTTTCCTCTTTTTTTTTTTTTTTTCTTTTTTTCTAGGGCTTTTCTGGGGACGCGATTTCGATCATAATCAGAATTGTGATCGCGATATCACTATAGCCATCAGGGCTATTGTCCACTGGTGAATTCTGATATTATAATATCGTTTTCTTTCTCTTCTTTTTTTTTTTTGTTTGTGAGCACTTTTAATCCACATGAGAATTTTTCTTTTAGGAAACAGTCTTTTCGGGAGTGATTTTGATTGCGATTGTGATCAAGATCGTAAAGCATGTCGTCAGGGCAGTCATCTTAGTAAATGCTTCCTTTCACAGGCTTGACATCCCTCGGGATGGGCAGGTAAGCGTCTCTTCGTTTATTTCTCATTTCATTTTCTTTCTTATATACTGTTAAAGTGAAAAATAAACTATATAAATAAGGAGAAAAATAAAAGTAAAATGAAGTAGAATATAAAAAGTAAT